TTTTTATATAAATTATAAATAAAAAAAAAAACAAAAAAATGGAAGGGTGGGAGGGGGGGGGGGGGGGGAAGAAGATCAGCTAATTTTATTATTGTGTATAACTATTGAAGACTGATTATTATTATTTTTTTTTTTTTACTCTACACGACAAAATATGTTTTTGTACCATGTATTTTCCCTGCATATCCAGTTGCCTTTCAAACACATTCATTCTTGTTTTTAAATATTTTGTCACATTACAACCACAATCTTCACTGTGTTTTATTAGGGTTTGGGATGTGATATAAAGTGACGCATACTTGTGAAATAGAAACATAATGAAACATGCATTTGTATTCAGCCTCTTTTACTGTTACACTCTAAAAAATGGGAAAATCCACTGTAAGTGACTGTTTTACAAAGGCCTCTTCATCCACCAGTGAACAATTTAATTTCACTGCAAACACAGCTATTCTGTGAAGACTTCAGATGTTGAATATGACTACATGTGGTATATTTTTCTCTTAACTGTGTTTATTGATTGGTCAATTTCAGTGTCAAGAATCTATAACTGAGTCAGTGGACATTAAGCCGAACTCGGTGCACATGGCCCTTCAGATCCCACAGTACTTCCTCATCACCGCTGGTGAAGTCATGTTTTCTGTTACTGGCCTGGAGTTCTCCTATTCACAGGTAATTTGTCCAGAACAAAACTAAACAATCTTTACATAATATTGTCTATATATTCCTATCTGAGAACACAGTTTGGGACAACATTCTGATCAGGCATTACTTTATGAAAACGGTTGCAAGCGGCTTTCAATAAATTTAATATAAATGATTAAAATTATTATAAATATATTAAACTGCTGCAAGAATTTAGAGGTGAATTATGTAAGTCAATCTCTGATTATTTCAGTTGTTTTTTTAATTGTGTTTTCATTTTTAAATATCCCCTTCTCGTCAACAAGGCACCCAGTAACATGAAGTCAGTGCTGCAGGCGGGCTGGTTGTTGACCAATGCCTTTGGAAACTTTATCGTCCTCATTGTGGCAGAGATTGCAAAACTTCCCAAACAGGTAAAAAAAAAATAAAACAAAACATACAATACCAACAACTTATGATAGCCACAAATATTTTTCAATGTCTCCCATGACTTTTCTCTCTCTCTTTGTTACCTTAAAGTGGACAGAGTATATCCTGTTTGCCTCTCTGCTGGTGGCGGTGTCCATCATCTTCTCCATTATGGCGAGTTTTTACACTTACATCGACCCCACAGCGATCGAGGCCGAGTTCAAGAAGAAAATTCACGATGATGAAGATGATGAAGATGATAAGAAAAAGGAGCTGCAGAAATCAAAAGAGATGGAGAAGAGAGATTCCGTTAGCAGTGACGATGAAGACAAGAAATATGTTCAAACCAGCATGTGAACTATCAGGAAATGAATCTATGGTGTTGACACAAAAGTAAGAATTTATAGTAGGTGTTAATTTGAGTTATGTTTATACTGTAATGCACAAAGGATGCTATAAGGTAACAAAGTCAGGCATGTGAAAAATGTATTGTGCAAAAAAACCTACAAATTAATTGATCTGTCAATTTGCTAAACATCTGAGTGCAACAGAATTTGTCTTTTAAGTCCAAGTTAAATCAACATGATTACAAAATATTACTTCTTCCTTGTTTTTTTGTTTTTTTCTTTTTTGTTGCTACTTGTATTGTAAAGATGTACCCATAGTATTGGAATCATGATAACGCTTTACTTAAAAGTATCATGTTTTGCAATCTCTTAATACGAGATAATGGTCCTTCCTTTAGCTAATATAAGAAGTTGGTTTTGAAACAAAGTCAGTCTCCTTTCTTTTATTGATGTTCATTTGGAGTGACTGAGATTCACTTAAGGATGACAGAAAAAAGAGATTCTCCAATATCTGGGACACTTGCACAGTGAAACACAGCTCTATCCCTAGAGTTTCTTTCCTCTCTTGTTTCATATTTTATTTCATTAAAATGTGTTTACAAAATTTGTAAGAAATAAGAGTGTAGCCGTGGTATTCAGGATTTATCGATAATGCTGCATTTCCTGGCTTCTTTACTTGAGTTTTTTTTTATGTTTTTCTTTGGTTTGTGTTTTTAATGTTTGCTGTTGTGATGAAATGTAATAAATATATATAGAGAATATTGCACTGATTCCACAGGGCTATGATAGGTGCCAAACAAATTTTGATATTAGACAAAGATAACCTCCACAAATACAAACAATACTTTTCAAGAAATGGTTTATTTTTAAAAGGGATAAAAAACAATATCCAACCCAACTTGGCCATATGTAAAAAAAAATAAAATAAATAAATAAAAATAAAAAAACGTAATGGCAAACAAATTGAGACAGCCCAGGTGATGATGTTGTGGGTTTATAATCTTCTGACAGATTAATTTGGTGAGTTTTTACACTTACCATGTAAATGTTCTGACTGAAGACGTACCTGTGGATGTATCAAACGATTCCTTTGGTCACATCAAAAGAAACCAGCCAAGATATCATGAAGGAAACTGGGGTCCTTCACAATCTAACTTGGATATAATTTCCAGATCCCTTAATGTGCCACATTCATCTGCACATTCATTGAATATGCAAAATATGCAAATAACATATTAACAAAGCCTGCAATGCATTTCCCAACTGTTTCGCAGAGACATCTTTAAAAATTAGAAGGTTATTTTGTACATCCATGCCAAATCCTGTACCAATGCATAACAAATACATGAAAAATGACTCAGTTTTAACCAGTCAACTGTAAAAGCTTAAAAGAAATTGTAAATTCCACCCCAAAATGAAGGCTGAAGACCATGTGAAAATACTTTCTGATGCTGCTGTGTGTGAAAGGAGTTCGGCATTGACATGGGTGGCCACTCAGTGAGAGAGAAGCCTGCACTCCAAAAGCAACGTACAAAGCCAGATTACAGTTTGCTAATGCACCTGAGGCCTGAGTATCTCATATTCATTCTGGGAACAAATAATGTGACTTTTGTGTCCCTGTAGGGACTCTTTTTGATAACAAGCCACATATAATTTTAATCAAAATATGTGTGAAGGCTCGTGTCTCTAAAAATAAAAAATAAATATAGTTATTTAGCACCCTGTTTCTCTAATAACTGTTTGAAAAGTAATAAACCCACAGCTTCAAGGTGCAATGTTCCTCTCTCACCTGTACTGGCAGATTTATTTAACAGCTTTGAGTTAGTGTTGTAAAAGAACTAGGTGCTAAACGTCATGAGTTATGACAGCATTTCATATCCCTCTGAGATTAAAAAAAAAGTATTTGAATTGAATTTATTTTTTTACTTTAGTTTTATAATAAAAATTGAGTAATGATTGAGAAGCAGTTTGAGATTGCTATCTGTTAGGTAGAGTTAGTTTCCTGTTAAAGCTGAGGTTGTGCAACACTTTCTGTTAGTTATTTTCCTTTAAAGTAAGTTAGTTAACTGACAACCGAGCGCCTTTATTGTCTAACTGGAACCCCATATATAACTACAGAATGATAAATGGACTTGCCAAAACCTATTTGTACGTGAACTCCCTTCCTGTAGTGACGTTTCCTTTAATGAATGACGACGTGTTCTCCGTCTCCTTTTTGCTACTCTGATTGGTTCACACTTAGAAATGACATTAACCAAGATGGCGCCGGGAGACAGAGGAAAGTGATGCCAGAGAGGAACTACAAGCGTCGCAGCTGGCACAACAGTGTGCACATATTATTTCTTTACAGCTGATTGCAACCAGACTTGTGTGGCGTCTCCGAGCAGCTGACGTCCCGAGGAGCCGATGAGATCAAGCTACTCTGTCAACTGTTTGCTAACAAACGGCTAACAGTGGCTAACGTTTAGCGCTCTGTAACTGCGGAAGGCGAGTAAGAGAGAAGGCGACAGCCTCAAGTAGAAGTTCGCTTCTTTGAAAAGTCTCCATATCATACATTAAACCAGCTTTTTGGGGCTCTGGTGGAGTCAAAGCGGTTGTCAGGGAAGTTACGTCGTTGATCTGATAAGGTGAGACGAGGAGAGGAGAGGCGTCATCTTTGCTTCTTTGACGCCATGGCTCACTCCCCTCTTCAGAGTGGACTGCCGGGGGTTCAGGTAAATATAACATAATGCTGTCACTATAAGAGTTAAATTATTTTTCTTTGAATCTTGCATCTTATGCCTCTGAAGGCTACTTCCTACGTGTAGGCAAAGTCACCTTTTCCACCTCTGTCACATTTTGGTTTCACTGATAAAAAGTTATCAAAGTCCATTTAGGTTCCTGGTAAAACTGCCTCTCTTATTACTTAGTTAAATGCAGATTATTCTTATTCTTGTCTAGATTTAGCCTAAATGTATTTAATGCAACGGTAACCCTCCTTATCTGTTTATTATTCTTTTTTCTTTGAATTTTTAATATATATATTGAACTAGAGCAGTCTGTGTTCCATTTTGAGTTTCTTTTTTTTTGCAATTTCATGAATACGCTAGAGTTGTAATTTAATTACACTTAATATAGATTTTTTTTTTTCTGTTTAGTCCCATTCTCTAAAATTGAACCTTTAAAGTGTCTTACATTTCGTACTATAGGTGAAGACATTTATATGTTCTCTAAATAATCACTTTGCATATATAGGATAGAAAAAAATAATTTTGTGGGCAACTTTTTAACAACTTAGCACTATAGTTTAAATAGATCAGAATCATCCTTGATGCCAATGTGGGAAACTCCCTCCACAGAAAAAAAAAAATCAAATTTACATATCTTGGATCAAAAGAAAGTCACCTTTGTAAGTTTTTATTTAAAAAAAAATACTTCCATTGCTATAACTGACATTTGTAGCATTAAAATTAGAAAAATCTGTGAATATTTGTGTAAGGTAAAAACTAAAGTTAATTTTGGCATTATTTAATATTTTTCTTTCAATTAGGATTGCACAATATGAGGAAAATATTCCGATGACAATATAGATTGCGATCAATCCACGTTTTCCTGACTCTTCTTTTTTTTTCGTCTTCTAGAATGCCCCAACGTTGTTCAAGAATTTTTGCATCTCAGCCTCTAAAAATACAAATCAGGTGTGGGCAGTGAAGGAATTAAAATCCATTCAATTGGTTACAAATATTAGCAGCATGCAGAATTTGTATGTATGGCACTTAAGATATAATATCCTAATAAATATTTTATCCACTCAGTTACTTGCACTACAGCGCTATTGCGAGCAGAATTTGATATATTGTGCATCTCTACTTTTGAGCATTTTTGTGCCCAAGGGTCACAGGTGGCACCAATTTATTTAAAATTGGAATAAAATTTGCACAAAAGTTGAGCATTGCTGCCTATTTCAAGTGTCTTTAAGAAAGGCATATAAAAAAAACCGACTAAATAGTTTTGCCACATTCTGCTTTGCATGTACGCACTTCAGATTCAGATTTATTCGTGTCTCAAATGGGAAACTGATGTTACAGCAAGTATAAAAACAAAAGACAAAGTACCAAAGCTAGAAAAAATTAAAATAAAAAGAGTAAAACATACCAAAAAGGACATGCAATGCACAATGGGAAGAGTTCTGCAGTATAAATCATTGTCGACCAACAGTTGCTACGTAGACTAACAATCAGGTGCAACTCCTCCGACCCATCCTGCATTAAACAGAGAAATTGCTGTAGGAACAATGGAGTGATGGTACCTGTTAGATTTTACACAAAGAAGTCTGAGCCAGAGGACAGAAACCGGAACTCGGCATGTAAAGGATGAGAGCAAGAATGGCTTTAGTTTTCTTTATGATGCGTTTATTGTGAGTATTGTTCAACTCCTAAGATCTTAAGATCTTATTACTAGTATGTATTACTCTGCTGAGGGCACTTCTTGACCTGATACTAAGACTTCCAAACCAACAGAGGAGAGAAACTGTCAACACAGATTCAATATATGATCTATAAAATAGAATCATAATTTACTTATCAACCTGAAACTTTGCAAGCTTTCTTAGGCAAAATAATATTTGCTGGCCCATTTTTTTTTGCAGGTAAATTTGAACTTATTATCCAAAATAGTCCTAAGATATTTGTAGTTTTCTACTGTCTCGACCTTTAATTACTGTTTGATTTGTGTTTTGGGGCTTCTGTCTAAAATCATTGCACATGTCCTTTGTTTCCTGCACATTTAATAAAAGAAAAGCATCATCACACCAGTCAACACATTCATCGAGCACAGGGCCAATGGGCATGTTCATCATCATGTAGAAGTTCATCATCACTTACACTTTGTGTTAAATAAGAAAATTAGCATAGAGTCAAAAAAAATCTTTTTTTTTTCTTCATAGCTGAGCAGATGTAAGCCACAATGTTGATATGAATGGCAACCTAATGCAATCTCGCAAGTTTGCATAACTCACCACCACAACATCACTCTTTAAAACATCCCTTAATTTGTATTTATCTTCACAGCTCTCTTGTAGCTTGTCTTTCAAAGCATTGCTTGGTTGCAGTGAAGGTTTATTCAGCGTCTGTTGCACTTTGGTTTTCTGAGAGCAAACCACAAAGTTGCTTGGTGCACATGGTAGAGAATCCAAAACATGCTTTTAGAGCGACCTTCAAGCAGCAGCAGCAGCAGCAGTTGTCCCAGCAAACCTGCTGACTATGGAAGCGGCAATTGCATTCCAGTGATATGCGAGCTTTGATCACACTGTTATTTTTCCTGTTGCTCAACATTATAAATTTCATCTGGATGACTGATCACACCAGTGTTGTAATAGTTTCGTGGGTTTTTTTTTTTTTTTTTTGCGCTGCACCGCACTGCATTTTCGTGTTGTGAAGTCCTTTC